ATTTTTGTTGACCTTTGTCCATGGAAGGTCCCTGCAAAATTTCATTGAAATTGGTTCAGGGGTTTTGGAGAAGAAGTCGAAAATGTAAATTGTTTACGGACGCACGACGGACGACGACGGACAAAAGGCGATCGCAATAGGTCACTTGAGACTTTGTCTCAGGTGACCTAAAAACACTGCATCATCGACATGCAAACTGTCTCCTAGCTATTGGGTATTCTCACGCCATTATTATATATTTTTTATCATCATCACATCATCAAATAGGTATGTACGAGAATTTGATAATCTTCTGAATACGTTCAAATATCACGTTTAGCAATTTACAAGTTCAATTTGTTAAAACACGATAGAGGGTAGAATAAAACATGTAACAAATTTCTTGTTTTATATTTGTTGATAGACAAAGTATATTACAATGTACAATGTATACATCAGTTTTATTTTATATATGTACATAAAAAACTGGAAATCAGCGAAAATAAGTAGATTTATTTATGTCAACGTAATTGCTTATTTGGTTTATGAAAAATTCTTTTTACACAACCAATAAAAAACTTTATGTGATGTTTCGATGATTAGTATGATATGTACACTGTCACCTTCATCAGACAAATGACCAGTGAAGTGTATGCACACAAAGGTAAATGTGTTACACCTTTGTCTGATGAAGGTGACAGTGTACATATCGTACTACCCATCGAAACGTCACATAGAACATTTCATTGGTTGTGTAAAAAGAACTCTTCATACTTCATACTTACCAACCTGAAGAAAATGTTTAGAAATATGCTTATTTGGTTGATTTTGAAATCCAAGTGCTTTGTTCTTGATATGCACCACCTTTATACTCTCCCTCAATATATTTGTCCGAATATAAATCAATTAAATTGGAATGATAACACACACGACATAACGGAAACCCGTACTCGGTGGTCGTCTCTTCACTTGTTACGGACCAAATAACACGTGCTCCTACCTGTTATCATCTTCGCTAGCCAAGGGTTCTCTTCGTATACACTCAACTTACAAGAATAAAAATAGTGACTATTTTGTTTCCAATCTTGACTGGTTTCCCTACACGAGTCACAGTCTGTAGTTGTATTTCAATTTTATCATATGAATTTTTGATCATGATCAGTATATGTACATATACTAGCATTTTTTTTTTTATTAAACTATGACCTTAGTTATATTATTGGATAGATTATATGTAAGTGGAGTGTATACGAAGCGAACCCTTGGCTAGCGAAGATGACCTGTTATAGGCTGTTAGGAATGGCCTGGGTGTGTTTCTATAACATGTTCTGTAATGTGGAACTGGATAATGACACAGCATCCTCGTCACTCACAACGTTGTTCGGATTGTCATTTGAAACACTTTCTTCATGCACTAACTGTTAATCTATATCGTCCAGCAGAGCGTCGTTGTCCGCCAACTAGCCAATTAAATGTACCTAGGTACATGTACAGTTAGGGTGATGAGCAACCACAGGTACTAGCCTCGTCTGTCAATACACCTATACTATGATCGTATAGGTGTATTGACAGGCGAGGCTAGTACCTGTGGAGCAACGAACTCGAAAGAGCGCAACTAGTGCGTGCTCCCTATATATACCCTACACCTTTATTTGGACATGTTGAAATTGAAGGCGCTGTACAAGATGACACGAGCTAATTTGTCTTGAAAATGTTCAGGATTTCTACATACCTTTAATCTCTTTGGTACAATATCAGAAAGAAATTGTGCAGCAGCACAACGGTTAAATTGATCGCCTTTGATATTGGTGAAGCTCCTAAATGATCTTCAGGTACTATCTTAGTGATTGGTCTTAAATAAAATCTGAAACCAATTAGATGGCGAACCGTGTGCATTCGATTTTGTGATTACCATATCAAGGGTGCAGAGAAGATGATTTAGTAATATGTATATCAAACTTGTATTACAAAGATGTTATTTGGTCGTCAGCTTCGCCTCTATTTAGTATAATGATAAACCAATGCATGTTGTGATAGGTTATAAGAACTGGGTCATAATGTTCAATGTCTATTTATCTTAACGATAACTTTACTATATACACAAAAACATTGTCATGCATGACTAAAAATTACATGAAAAAGCCTTGATGATGATGATGGGTTTAAGACAAAATCGTAAAAAAATATTGATAAACCAAATATTTCTCAAAATCACATTTGAAAATTCTGTCAATGACTCCCCTTAAGCTAACCAGACTTTGAACACCTGGGTTCCTCCTGTTGTCTCCATTGTCCTGTCACCTATTTGACATTTTTCATTTCTGTACATTATTATGAAGAATTTATTACATTATATCATGATGAATAGCTGAATGAGAGATATCGGTGATATGGTGATATTTTATAAGAAGTGCATATAAGTATTATATGTAATTCATAATACAAAACGTTGGTTATGTATATTCTATATCGGTCAGAAGATCTAGAGTAGCATCTGATATATAGATATTCATCAAATAATGTTTGACATGTGCAAACAGGTCCATCAATTACTTGAAATGTGTCGACAAAAAGTAAGTCGGTGTGTCATTGTGAAATCTGGATTACGTATATATGTGTCATTGCATTATGTTATGAGGATTCTGCTCACAAAAAATAATAAACACTTCTTAATTGATTACAGGCGAATTCTAACATTTTTTTGAAGGAAATTAAGATTATATGAAAACTACAAATTTTGGTTATATTTCGTCATAATTCCGAAACCATGGTTGGTGTGTGAATAAGTGGCAGACAGTACTAGTGTTTTCCAGGCACGGACAAAAAGCGAAGAAAATCAAAGAATCTATCTAGGTTGGGAAGGAAGAGGAATCTTGAACATAGATGAGGGGGCCACCAGCATTTTCATGAGCCAATTTTAACATCCACTAAAGGGCGGAATGGGTAAACATATTACCTCTCCCTCGGAATGCCTGAAGTATTTGAGTGCTATTTGACGAAATGTCTCAATATTTTCTGACAGTTGAATTTACTATTTTGGCAAATATTGTGGCTTAGCGAGTCAGGATGCCCGTCATTTGCTCTTTTTGTTTGACAAAGGATCCAAATGTTTTTCGAAAATTTGCAAAATAAGTCAATTCCTGTTTGTGTTAAACTTAGCATTTATCATTTGGATCTTTGACCACAGATAGAGCTAAGAGTTGACCTTTAACAGTGTGACCTTTAATCTCAACACAATATTAGCCACATATTTGCAAATCTGTTCTTCATAACATACCCAAGTATCTGTGTGTAAACCTTATGGTTCTTTTTCAGATATTTAAAAAAAAAAGTTTATAACATATTCGACCCCGTGACTTATATGGTCATTTAAATGAGAAAAGAATCAGTAGCACTCCAGGTACATGTTCCTACCACAGGGACCTGAGAAATTGTTACAGCTATATTTTTCCTAAACTAAGGTGTTCAGAGTAATTTTACATGTTTTAGGGGTTTACATCGACTTTCGGTAAAATGACACTCCCAATGATCATATATACGAGCGCGTGCCGAGACCCCTGGTGTGATTGGCTGGAAGCATGAAGCTCAGTAATTCTTTCGCTAAACCAACCAACACTGCATGTTTCAATTCTCAGGTCCCTGTGGTTCCTTCTGGATAATTAATCATGATCCTATAGGTATCTGTTTTTGATAAGGAGCTGGATGACAGTTATCAGAGTACATACACTGCACCATAGGGTTAACACACAGGCACTTGCTGCAAGGAGAGTTAACAAGGAAAAGAACACCTTTGTTCTTCATATCTTCCTATCTTTTATATTTTTTTAGTTTTTCACTTTTAAACTTTTCTTCCTATTCCTGACCTATGATTCATCTTCTTTTCAGTTAAGCTCAGTTCATTACATTTGAAATTTAAAAAAAAAACTAAAAAAGTTATAACAGTCAAACAAACACATTCATTTTATGTTCACAAATATAAACAACTTAATAAACATTAATCTGCTAGCTGAAGCACTTGACTTTCAGGCAAATTGTAATAAAATATTGAGGTTTAAAATAAATCATCAACCCTGAAACAAGAACAACAAAACTCAAATAACAATAAATAGTAATAATTCATATCACGTTAGCTATCCCACTTATACAACTTTACATGATTTTTCATTTATATGAAATAAGTCAATTTAATTTCAACTTTTTATTTTAGCCAAGGTATGGCAATATCAAATGAAAAAAGAGTTTATTTTAGCCGAAGTATGGCAATATAAAATGAAAAAAAAAGTTTATCTAGCCAAGGTATGGCAATATAAAATGTGTTTTTTTTAGTTTTTTTAGCCAAGGTATGGCAATATCAAATGAAAAAAAGTGTATTTTAGCCAAGGTATGGCAATATAAAATGAGAAAAAAGGTTTATTTTAGCCAAGGTATGGCAATATCAAATGGAAAAAAAAGTTTATTTTAGCCAAAGTATGGCAATATAAAATTAAAAAAAAAAGATTATTTTAGCCAAGGTATGGCAATATCAAATGAAAAATGTGTAATCTTAGTTTTTTCTCGACTCAAGCTCCCTTGTGATGTTTTAACATTGAAGTTGGTGGAGTCATTATAATTCTATGACATCACAACAAGGTATTACATCAGATCGTTCAAAAAAGATACGATGTTTGTACCGTTATTATTTACAGAATCACAAGGCTGTCATGAGATAAATTGAAATTTTTCAGCTCTTGGATGCATCATGTTTCATCTTTTGTGTGATTTTTCATGTTTCTTTGCGTATGATTTATTTTTCAGCTCTTGGATGCATCATGTTTCATCTTTTGTGGGATTTTTCATGTTTCTTTGCGTATGATTTATTTGCAAAGCACTGACCGCAGTGATCACACGTGTGTAGCCGGGAACTGTCCCGGTTGTGGGTCTTCATGTGTCGGCTGAGGTGATAGGAATGGCGGAATGCTTTACTACACAAAGTGCACTTAAACGGGGCGTCTTCCGTATGGATCAGCATGTGTCTTTTCAAGCCCCTTTCATCGGAAAAACCTTTACTGCAGGTATCACATTGGAACGGATTATCTTTCGAGTGTACGACAAGGTGTTTCTGTAGAGTTCCCAATCGGCTGAAAGTTTTACCACAAATATCACAAGTAAACTCCTGTTGCGAGTGTGTGAGGGAGTGTTTATTCAGAGTCTCTCTTCTACCGAAGCTTCGGTTACACACATCACACTGGTAAGGTTTCTTCCCCGTGTGAATGACTTGGTGTCGCAACAGGCCACTCCAGTCCGTAAATGCCCAATCACAGAGCCTGCATTTATGCGGTCTTTCTCCGGAATGCATGGTGGAGTGTGTTCGTAGATGACTCTGCCGCCTAAATAATTTCCCACAATCCAAACACTGGTAAGGTTTGTCACTAGAGTGGACCTGGAGGTGCTGTGTTAGTCCACACCTCATTGTAAACGTTTTACCACAGACCTGACACGGGTAAAGCTTCACACTGGAGTGTATACTTTTGTGCCTTTGAAGGTAATCTTGGCTGTGAAATTTCTTGCAACAAATGCTACATGATAAACGCTTTCTTTTGGTGTGTGAAGTTTTCTTCGATATTTTTCTCTTGCTGTCTCGTGTTTTGTTTTGATATTTCGAATTCTTTCTTTTCTGTTCATTTTCATCGCCATGCATTTTCACGTGTGAAATCAAATCTCTGTTTACGCTGAACGATGTATCACAGATACCACATGTAAACATATTTGTACTGGAGACCCTGTCATGGTGTAATCTTTGATGTCGTTGTAAAGATACGGCTTTAGAATACCTCTTCCCACAGGTGTTACATGTGTGTTGTTTCTGTTCTGGAATAACTGGAGAACTGTTCAGATCAAGTTTCGCTGAAAGTAACAAAAAGAAATCAAACTCAATAACTCATTCACCCATTAAAACACATTTGAACTCCTCCAATTTAAAGGTTGGGATAGTTCATTATGAAAAATCAGGGGTGAATGAGTTAAAGATGTGAAGTTTGCATCCTACTCATATAAAAGGCTTCACTTTCAATCACACAAATAAACATGAGACTTATGAAGACAATATGTGGCCGACATATATATATTTCACCAACTAAATATTGTTTAGAGTCCATTATATATACAATGCACTATTTTTAAAAGTATAAATTAAAACTAAAAACTAAAATAACACACCAAATTTTGCAATATTTATCTATAAGAAAATGATTAAACAAAAAATATTATTTTAAACTACAATTAACACAAATTCACTGCATGAAAAACTATCAACTTTAAAATAAGTAAATTTTATGAAACAGGTGTCAGTTGATTTATTGAAGAGTTATCTCCCTTAAGCATATCTAATAATTCAGAACTACCTATGGGTTGTTATTTAATTGACAAAGTTTATACTATGTTAAAACTATATTGACTTAATAATTCTCAACTTCATTAACCTCAAGACAGTTAATTAACTGACAATCACTAAAAAGTATGTGATCTTTCCAAGCGTCTTTTAAACATTTGAATTAACTTAGTAAGATAAACATGACAACAAATTATATCACAAGTTCTCAGTTCTTTTTTCACACAAAATTTATATTCGATTCAATAAACAGTTCCACCTGACTTCAGTTATTTCCAGCCACAGTTATATTAAGTACCATGCAGCATCACAAAGCATTGTGATGTAATTTCAAGTTTTGTGTAGATTTACTATAAGACTAAAACAGATATCAGCCAATGTTTAACCAGATAGCAAGATATATATCTTAAGACAACACCTTGCCAGCTGCTTATCCAATATTTTAGGAGTAAGAAAACATATTGCTGGGTATTTTAGAAATGGGTACCTCTCCTTAAATTGGGAAAATTGCCTGCCTTTTACTATGAAGTGCAAAAATAGTATTAGGTATTTTAGAAAATTGGAAAATGATTAAAAGGGGACACATCACCATTCATTATAAAAACTTACTTTTGGTGAGAATATGAGAAAGCTTGAAGTTTGATTTCTTTTCATATTTACAAACAACAATTGACAGATTGCCGAAATTTAGCTTGAAAATTGGAAATTACAGGACAGATTTTCAATTGTGAATGGGGTCCTTTATTGGACCTTATATGTATCTTGCACAACTCCTGTAACCTAAAATAGTTATGGCAAAGTGATAGAGAAAGATGATATAATAATGACCTACCACGCTCTGGAAGTATGAGTGTTACACATCTGACCGGCGGTTCAGCTTCACACGTCTCTGTGGGTGTACCCTCATCTGTCTCGATCCCTACTGCAGATTCAGTAACAAACAATTCGCAGAGACCTCTATCTTCTGGTTCTATATAAGCGTTAGAATTCTGAACATGTGTATCTTCATCTGTTTCAAACTTTATCGGAGTTTTATATACTGTAGGTTCACTCAGACTTCCCTCCCCTGGTTCTATATAAGCGTTAGAATTCTGTACATGTGTATCTTCATCTGTTTCAAACTTTATCGGAGTTTTATATACTGTAGATTCACTCAGACTTCCCTCCCCTGGTTCTATATCAGCCACAGACGTATCTCTACGTGCATTGTAATCAGTCTCAAAAGAACCACAGAGACTTCTATTTTCTCGTTCTATATAAGCTATAGAGGTCTGTAAATAGCTATCCTCGTCAGTTTCAAATTTTACCGCTGACTTATACACGATTGATTCACCGAGGTTTCCCCCTTTTGGTTCTACAGAAGCTATAGAAGTCTGTAAACAGGTATCCTCGTCAGTCTCAAATTTTACCGCTGGCTTATACATGGTTGATTCACCGAGGCAACCCCCTTTTGGTTCTACATAAGCTATAGAAGTCTGTAAACAGGTATCCTCGTCAGTCTCAAATTTTACCGCTGGCTTATACACGGTTGATTCACCGAGGCTTCCCCCTTTTGGTTCTACATAAGCTATAGAAGTCTGTAGATGTACACTACTATCTACACTTTGTACCTCAGTCTTTAAAGAAGTCTTATATAGGATAAAGTCACTTAGGCCTCCATCTGTTGGTTCTATATCACCTGAGGATGTCTCTCCATACGTATCTTCATCTGTATCAATCTCTACTGCAGATTCAGTTACAAAAGATTTGCTGTGGCTTACCTCCCCTTGGTCTTCATCAGCTACAAAAGTCTCTCTGCTATTGTCTGTCTCAGTTTTTATAGAGGACTTGTATACGATCGCTTCAGTATGGCTTACCTCCCCTGGTTCTATATCAGCTACAGAAGTCTCTCTATGTGAACTGTTGTCTGTCTCAATCTTTACAGAACACCCTGCTATAGAACTGATAAGACTTTCACTTCCTAATTTTGAATCCACTGAAGAAGTGTCTTGCTCTATACTGTCATCTGGTTCATTCTTTACAGAAAAGCTAGTAACAGCAGCGTCAATGAGGTATCCTAATCCAGGTTCTAATTCAGCTAATACGTAACTGTCACTGCCAACACGTTTTCCTGTCACTGTATCTAAAGGCAACTCTGTTTCTAAAAGGTTTTCCTCCTGGTCATTCCCTACTGCCTCAATCTTTATCATGCATTGTGTATCCGCAATTTGGTGGCCGTTCTTTTGTCTGTCTGAAATTTGTGTACCCGCCATTTGGTGGTCGTTCTTTTGTCTGTCTGAAATTTAAACAATCAGTTGGTTATAAAATTCTATATTTATTTGGCAGTTAGCCTATCCTGTATCAAAAATCAGCCCATAAATTTATATTATAGTTCATCAGAAATGATACCAAATCCTACTTCATTGTGCTGTCAGTGTTCTCACTAAGATTTGAAAAAGGTGATTGACTTGAAAATAATAGCTAATTGAATCAATTAATGTTCAGGATAGCACTTTTGCTGGCAACTGGCTTTAATGAGCTTGGATGAACACATAAAGATCAGTCAGGAGTTTATAGTTTGTCCCCAGGGGCTTTTTTAAGTATAAATACAGTAAATCATGTAAGTGCATGGTAATTCAATGGAATAATGCTTTTGAAAATCTCCCAATAGGGAGCTAGCAGTTTCAATAGAAACAATGTTGAATCTAAAGGTATACTGTAAGAAACATTATCCAAACTTTCCCACTGAAAATGAAGTGGTTACCAGTTAAGGTCATAGGAGTGTATTGCTAAACGGAAATAGGAAGTACATCCCTAGTTGAAAATCCAATGTAGGGAGACAGTATCACAATTTCCGCATAATCTAATGTTTAATATTAAAGTGATGAACATTGTATGCTTATTATTGACAGAACAGTGTGTTCTTTCAATAATAAAGAATTGCAAAGCAATCCAGGCATTAATTCAGTTGTTTTTAAATCAATGAGTCACATGTGTCCATTTTTCTGTACTTCAGAAACCGGCTACCTATTTCACTACTGTGAAGTTTTTCAAGAACGATAACTCTTGCATGCAATTACTATGTGTATATGGTTTGATTATCAAATGTCAATCTTTAATCGTTTATAGATAATTCATTTTACACAATTTCAGCATTTATGAAATTGATATACATTAATGCAATACTAATCTATGTTAGTATCATTTTTATTGACATTATTTTGCACACAATTGTGTGTTTCAATTTTTTTTTCAAAATTCACTCCTTTTTACATAAATTTCCTTTTAAAATCCTTAAAATTCTGACCTTTATTTTTTTTGTGGCAGAAAATTTTCTTTACTTCAAAGCAATATATCTACAAAATATGAATAAATTCTACTGAGAAATGGCGACACAATCCTATTACCTTGGTTGCAAGTAACCCTAGGCCTCTAGTTATAATAGCAATGATAACAGGGGTCACCTAGTAGATTTCAGCAAGGACTAGTGATTCACCTAACCTAACTGGTACTTTGGACTTGTGAAAAATATGATTATGAAATAAATATATACTTTTTTTAAATTTAGAACACTGCTTAAAATAAGAAATATTGCATGATAATTGTCCAAATTTTCCTAAAACTATTTTTATGGCAGTAGCTATTTTAAGTCCTTTACAGTCGATTACTTTTGATGTTTCGTGCTGTAGATCGCAATGTTTCCTTATCAGGAAATCTTGGACTAGTTACACTGACGAAGGACTGGTACATAATCTATTCAACTAGTCCTGTGGACTACCAAGCAAATATAGTTAGTGTCTAACCCTGGATACCCTAGCTGTCTCCTCAGCCTTAATGTTGTCGTAGCTATAAGTCACCCTCGGGTTACAGATTTAGACAAGAAATCAAGGGTGTTAACTTGTTTTGCCACAAATTCTTACAACAACAGCATTTTTTTAAATCATAAAAAAACCCATTTCAACTGATATTTATAACTGAAACATATATTTATATCAGGGCAAACAACCTCGGGCGAAATGGATTTAGGGAGAAACGACTTGTAGTGTCACTGGTGTGAATGGGATTAGAGCAAATCGGATCCAAAATCAAGTTACTAACCCAGAAACTTTCAAAGTCATCCTCATCCTACTCATCACTCACAAAAATCTGGTACTTCAGCCAGCAAACTTTTGAACCAGGTATACCAGTAGCTCATCTGACATCCTTGATACTCTAGGGTTTACGCTCTGACTTTCGCACTCTGCTGAGCGACCCCTGGAAAACTGTATGTCATAGCAAAATTGAAGGTCCAGTGTTGAATGTGTCGCATCTCATGGATGAGACGAGAAGACTAGTTTGATCCTTTGATGTACATCAAAAGAATATGTCGGTGTAGTAACGGTAAAATTGGCTGGCTTTGACGTCAGGTGTCGCTCCTCGCTCCTCTGTCATCTTCATAGGACAGGCAGGCCTATTAGCCTAGTGATTGGTCAGGTGTTTATTTTACCTGACATCAATCGCAATCAAATAGCAAGCCGCATGACTTCAATTATGCTATGACATATTCCAGGAGTGCAGATAGTTAAGTTGAGATGGTGAAAGTGAGCATCACCCCTGGAGTACTGAGGATCCTTGTATAACGAGTTAATGACAATATCGGGTGTCAGACGTTTCGCCCCAAACCAGTTCGCCCCAAATTTGATTCATATCGCCCGAACCAGTTCGCCCCAAAAAAACATAACGCCCCAACTAGTTCGCCCCTAAAAAATATAACGCCCCCCCCCCCTTCCAAAAGAAGGAGCTTGCTTATTTTTCCATAATTACGTGATTGTGTTTACCGTGCATAGGGGAATGACTCTTGTTACCTGTGTATACAACGGAAAGGTTGGCACATCAAATATATGTACATATTATTTTAGTTTTGCAAAGCCGGAATTGTAAAAGTGATATGTTTCCTTTAACGTATGTTTTCAGTTTATGTTTCCATAAGATGTGACTTACGGAAATGTAGCATTGTGTACATTCTCTCATCATACACCGACGCGTGTGACTTTAAAATAAACAACAAATCCCTGTTTTCATGTGTTGTATGTTAAGTGCTATTATAAAGAATATTTTTCTATTTGGTATGTGTACATCTTGTCATCAAACTTTGATGCCTGTAGCTATTAAACAAACGACAAAGCCATATATCAACGATCTGTAGTAAATTACTTAGATCAGAGAGGCAATTATTTTCCTGGTTCCTTTACATTTTGTGTCGCCGCATTGATGGCAGGTAACAACGGTAGGAAAATGTATCCACAAAAATATTAAGTGATGTATCTTGTATTGTGCATGATATATATCTTTGTGTTATACTATGTTGCATCATTTGTTAAAATAAGACGTTGTAATTAATAACTATCTCTCTCTCTATATATATTTATGTGTATATTTGTACAATAATATTCAGGTAAAAGTAAAAGACAATTATATTATTTCCACGCGTGCCGTAGATAGTTAACGCATCATATCTATAATATCTATGTTAGACATGTATTTATATATTTAAGATGATATATATGTTTAAGATAATCAGATTATTTCCACGTGAAATTATTCGAAACAAGAAATGAATTATTGATATTAATAAGGAAATACTCACAACTCTAAAATTGAAAGAGTTACCTCCCATTAACAGCCTGTAGCGGTTGGGGCGATACAGAATTTTTGGGACGATATAGCTTTTGGGGCGAAAAGAAATTTTGGGGCGATATGGTTGTCTATCTTGGGGCGAACTGAACTGAAAATTGGGGCGATGTGAAAAAAATTGGGGCGAACTGGTTTGGGGCGTAACGGTTTTGGGGCGAAACGTCTGTAATTCACAATATCTAAAGGGGGAAACTTACCTCGGCTGTATCAGCCATACCCAACTAAACAGGACTAAAACGTTTATCCTGTTACAAAGCAAACAACAGAAAGAAGAATTGAACAAGTGGGTCGAACAATATTATATGACGTAACTGTTGTGCATTATTCAGACGCATCGGAGTGATTGCGCTGTTGCGCGTTTATCAGTGATCACAAGTCCTATGCAAGGATGACGCGCCGTCTGTTTATCCTGATCGCTTTACACATAGCTATAAAGTAGCATCATTTCGTACAGACGTGTTAACGTGCAGATTGTGTACAGAATAAAGGACTAAATGTGTTCATACCTTTCACAGGATACCTTTAGGAAATTTGTTTTTGGTATAAATATCAAAGGCCGTCCTATGTTCCAGGAACAGGAAGCTTAAGTTCGTGTATAATAATAGGACCGACATGGCACTCGGACTTTATCCGGATTCCTCCCCTAGGTTTAATTCAAATCAAGGAAAATTGAGGAGAATGTTGATAACGTCAGCTAATCAATGATTCATGTTTAGACATAATTGAATTACAGAAATGAAATCAAAGATTTCACGATATCATTGTGACGTCATTATACTGAATGAGAATGTTGCTACAAATGTGTGTGTTATACAGAGCCTGGGAAGGGACATGATGAAAAAAATAAACGATCGAAATCATGGATTACAAAATTTATATATATAATACAAAATCAAGATAATAGATTATACTACTCCGATATCATGGATTACTATACTGAGATCATTGATTACTATATCAAGATCATGGATTACTAAACTGTGACCACGTGTTAGTAAACTGGGATCACAGATTACTAAACAAAGATCATGGATTACTAAACCGAGATCATAATGATTACTACATCAAGATCATGGATTACTAAACTGTGACCACGTGTTAGTAAACTGGGATCACAGATTACTAAACTGAGATCATAGATTACTACACCAAGATCACAGATTACTAAACTGAGATCACGGATTACTAAACTGAGATCATGGATTACTAAACTGAGATCACAGATTATTAAAATGAGATCATGGATTTCTAAACTGAGATCACAGATTACTAAAATGAGATCATGGATTACTACATCAAGATCATGGATTACTAAACTGTGACCACGTGTTAGTAAACTGGGACCACGTGTTACTAAACTGAGATCACATATTATTACACCAAGATCACAGATGACTAAACTGAGATCACGGATTACTAAACAAAGATTATGGATTACTAAACCGAGATGATTGATTACTACATCAAGATCATGGATTATTAAAATGTGACCACGTGTTAGTAAACTGGAATCACAAATTACTAAACTGAGATCACAGATTACTACACCAATATCACAGATGACTAAACTGAGATCATGGAATACTAAACCGAGAACACGGATTACTAAACTGAGATTACAGATAACTAAAATGATATCATGGATTACTAAACCCAGATCAAGGATTACTACACCAAGATCATGGATAACTAAACTGGGATCACAAATTAATAAACCAACTGAGATCACAAATTACTTAACTGAGATCAAGGATTGCTTAATCGAGATCACGGATTACTAAACTGAGATCACGGATTACTTTACTGAGATCACAGATTACTAAACCGAGATTACTTAAATTGTATTGTATTATTTGTTTGTGTTGGCTTGTCAATAAATGTCAATAAACTACTGCAATGCGAGTTTATAAAGGTTTTTTTCCAGTGATAAGTCGACGGCCAGCTTGAGAAAAACAGTTAAACTACAATCATCTATGTGTCATTCCCAAAACTTATCAATATTATGACCTGTCTTTGTCAGTCGTCTGGGAACATTGTACAAATACAGCTTAAACTGAAATACTATTAAAGAGATTTAATTGGAATCTTACTGACATTACCCTGACTGAATGTTGTTATTTATCCGGGCAATCAGATATCCAAGATGGCCACTCTGGACTCTGATTTGCTGATAATTTTTTGACATTTTATTTTACAAAATGGTCTTACTTCTTGGGCCAATCCAAAATATTCAAAATGTCCGATACGGGGCCCTGATGACAAAATTGATGTCGTTAGATGTTGTTAGATTGCGATTAATTGGCTAAGGTGTAAATCGGGCCTGTTGTTCTGGTGGCGACTTGAACCAAAGCAGCTATTTCGATTAGTGATACATAATCTTTCTTAACGATAAATTGCCTGTCGAGTAAATACTATTTAAACTGTTTAATAAATGTTACAATTACAATGGCCCATGTCTCGTTACACGGTGCCGCATTTGAGCTGGCTCCAATCTCTTGCTTTTACAAGACACAACTCGCTTCTCTCCATGCTGATCCTGAGACAGCACTGCTGCATCTGTTATTATATTTGATGCATCTGTATCAAGAATGAAAATTCCCTCCCCAAGCGGATACGCCAGTATCGGGGATGACAGAATTCCAGAAATAATACATGTATCATAAATTTACATATTATAAACCATGCCACTGCGCCAAAAGAGATAACTGTGGCCATCAAGGTTAAAGCATGAAAGGCGCACACGGAAAGAGTAAACAGAAACCGAGTTTACAAAATGGCAAACGTTTCGCTTCGGATACTGATGAGGAAATACTCGCCAAAAGGGCTATATATGTGCCACAAAACACACAAAAGTCGAACAGACGAGCGGCAAACATGCTGAGGACGTATTTAAAAAAAGTCTTTGTTTTTATTATAAAAGACTCAAAGGGGTAATAAATTCGCCAAATACTGTTTTCAGTGTTGACATTTGACTTTTGATCGTTTGACATGATTTAAGTGAATTTTTGAACTGTTGAGATATTCGGCATTGTTAATATAATATTGCAAATATAGCCATATTCACTATATCTATGAAAGTGACGGGGTTTCCCAGACTTAAAAAAAAAAATCAATACTTTCCCATCCAAGGACCAACTTTTGAATAAACTTTTTGATTCCGTGATGTAATATGCAAAAACAAATCGTATGCCAGAAAAGTGGTCCTCCTTTGGGAAAGTGCTCAAAATAATGATAAAAAAGGTTGATCAAGTTTCTAAAAACTGCGACAGATGTTTCTTGGGTTAAAACAGTTTGTATTTCCGTATATATCTATGTCCGATTTAGCCTAATGTGTAACGCAGTTAGCTGGTGACACGAAGAAGTGAACGGTGTAGGTTCGAACCCATGTTCCGATTTTTTTTTTTAAATATTTAGGCATGTGATCATTTTCCTTGAATTAAGTGATAAATATTTTGCAAATCAGTGGAACATTTTATTGACATTTTGATAACATACCTTTTGATTTATCTTCTATGGAATCATGTCAACAAATTTCTGTACGCGTGTACATTACAGCTACACTTTGTAGTAAAGACATCATTTTAAAATGATATTTATGAATTGTTTTACCCTCCAATTGGCATTAGTATTTTTGATGCCGAAATACAAAATATATGGGATTGTTGCTTCAGAATAAAAAAAAAGGCAAAGCAAAATAAATGAACTGTTATTATCGCAAAGATATTTCCGAACATGCGGGAAAATTCATCGTCAAGGACACTCTCATTTGTTTTAAATGCAGAGAGATTTCAGAGAGATTTTTATTATCACTCAGGCACACTATTGTGTGCAACAGGAAGTCAATATAAAGTACAATATTACAATGATATGGTTGACCGTAAAGCACTCATCTTACTAACTATGCAAGCGTAAACTAATATAGTGGAAAATATTACACTCCTCATACAATGATAAACACCATAGCAGGAAGACTGCAGCACAAAGTAAGGAGCGCAATACACGTGTAAGACATGATATTCGAAAACTATATGTAATTTTACCATTCCAAAGTGCAAGAAGAACAAAATACAGATGTGTGCTTTTTAAGAAAACAGTTAACGGCATGACGTAGGCAATAGTAATGGAAATTAAATGCTTTCAAACTTGTTGGTAATGTTTGTACCATCTTATGTTTCATACAGCATAACGCGAAATATGCAGTTGGCCGAGTCTTTATCGTGAAACGCGTGTATTAATAAGAGCGTAGCTCTCGGGCGCCCGAGCAAAGCTCTTTAATGGTAACACATGCATGCGTAAACAGAGTTGCTTCCCCTTTCTACACCTTGCCTTAAAAAACTTCGTCCGGAAGTCGACGTCAGTGGGGAATTAGGAAGTGTATTCTTGAAGCAAAGACAATGGTTCCCACCAATACATGAACATATTCATATAGTGAAAACAATGCCCATGTTTTATTACTTATTTATTTAGGTTTAGTATTTTATTGCAATATAATTACAAAAGGATTGGACACAAGTTATTGCAACTTATAAACGCCCTTTCCATAATTGTTTACAACATATAAATATAATGCAATTTCTAATAATACATAAATTAATTTACAACAAACACATACTTTTAGTCTGACTCATTTCATGATTAAAACTATAGATTTAGATAACACACTTATAACAATGTTATATAACAAACTTATCAAGCTTATAACAATGTTGACCCAGTTGGACTATAAACACATTCATTACGCACTACAAATTGTTCATCTCAATCCTGAAAAACTTTCCTCTTCCGTAACCACGCAGATCCTCTTCTTTTCCGTAGTCTTTCATCTTAATAATACCAGCTGGGCCAACAATGTTACCTTAGCAGTTGAATAAGTAATATCACAATACTACAGTAACATCGGATAATGAAATTAAAACAATTAAATATATAGCGTTGTGCACTTTTCTTTAAAATCTTTTGCTAGATTTAATGAAGTTATGAACGTATAAAAAGACTTCCGAATTTGTGTCAAGCGACAAATCTTCATTTCCAAATGAAAGCAAATCTAAATCACATGGTACCTCTAAACTCAAATCATTTCCTCGCTGAAAAAGTATGTTTCTTTCAATACTATAACGGCGACATTGAAAGAAAAAGTGATAAACATTTTCACAAATATGTCCACAAATACAGCTAGGGGTTTCCACAAGGTTCACACGGAGTAAGTCATAATTTAGAGAACTGCAACGGTGTCTAAGCTTCGTGTGAATAACATTTAACCTACGGTCGCCATTACAAAAGTACGAAAGAGGAATAAATTGATCGTTGGGTTTCAGGGAATTTTTAAAGATATTCAATAAAGCTGATGACCTAATAGAGTTATCGAGGGTATTCCAACAGCGAAGGGTTGACGGTAAAAAAGAAGAGTTTGTTGTCTAGGTAAAAACTAATATACATTCTGAGTGAAAACAATCTATCACATACATTTTGATACTAGAAGGCATGAAAAATCGTTCAGAGATTATCATACTTTGACGTCGCAAGCACGTTACACTCCATCGGCCTTCATCGGTTATTTCCGGAAGGAAAAAAAATAACCGGAAAATCTTGGAACTGATAGCCGTTGCATTCATCTCTTTGTCGTTGCTTCATGACTTTTTAATTTCAGTTTTTGCCACCGGCACAGAAAGTAAAAACGCGGATGTTTTCTGAAGATCCTTTTTGTCATCAACCAGGTTCTGTTAAAATTTCTACCGGGAGATATTTTCAAAAAGAGCCGCATTAAACCAATAGGTCAACGTGAACATTTATTTTTCATCGTCTAAAATTTCATCAGCTTTTGATTTCGATTTGTTGTGTATATGAACGAAACAATTAACATTTTTGAAAGTCTGATTATAGTCTTTACATAATTTATGAATGCATCACCACTCATAAAAGAAACAATGGATAATTCATTTATGTCGAAATCAACAATAATTGTCGACACAACGAACCCGAGTTCAACGCCATTTTTCAGCAACGTATCACTTTTTCACAACGCATGCCGATTTATAACTAGTTACAGACAGAAATTGTTTAATTTTATTTGGCATTATTACCTGTCAAACCTCAGTGACAGTTACAAAACTTGAAATTCAATCCGGTGTTTCAGGATGGACCAGGAATTCAGACTATATATCGATATAACGACAATCTCAGTTACACCAAAGTATTACAATGTTTTCTTTTTTTAATTTCATTTTTTTAACTAACATCTCTATACATTTACTTTTATAAACTTATCGTCAAATATGTAATATGCACTTTTTTTCTAAAGCAATTTCAAAACAGGTTTCCCCCAACTTATTTCAATCATTCTTTTTGTGACCTGCCGGAAGCACGCAGAGGATTTAATTCTTAATGTGGGAGGAAGCCGGGGTATCCGGAGAAAACCCGCGTGGTCGGGCAGGTAACCGGGATTGAATCTGGCCATCTTGGTGAAGACGAGCGCGCTATCCACTGCTCCACCCGACCCATCATATACGTTACGCACAAGAACAAATATCTACTTTAGCTTTGAAAATGGCGTCATTGATGCAAAAATCATATTGCGAATACATTTTTACCAATCATCAATTCAACGATACAAAATAATCTACATACGGGAGATCGGGGCAAGTTCGGCCACCCCTGTTTGTTTTTGAGCTAATATTTACAACTTTAAAGATCTTAGCAGTTTAGTTGGCTGGGCATTCACACGAAAAAATGGCGAGGAAAACTCTAATTTAAAATGACTAAACAGGAGAAAATCACTTTTGAGAGGGTAGAAAGAAAATCATGATCTCGCTTCTAGTTATGCGAACTTTCTGTAAATGGAATTGCTATTTTTTACGGCCAAAAGTGTAACACACTGACAGCTTCAAATGACATACATAAAAGCCAAGCCAAGCACTCACTACCATATTGCTGTACGATAGGAATTTATTGAAATATCAATTTGGCCCCGGACAGTTTCGGCCAATGATACCGTGGCAAGTTCGGCCCATGTAACACATAAAAAGTCGTAAAATTGGCGGTAAAATCTGACGTTGTATGCTTTATAACGTCATAATTAAGCTGATTCCAATGGGGCCGAATTTACCCAAATGCCTGTCCGAACTTATCCCATGGCGGGGCTCGCTCGGCCATCCGATCATCCGATAGGGAAAATTAAATATTGTTCAAAAACGGACATGCTGCCATATTTTCCCAAAACGGACTTTAAAAAAGGGTCGAATTTGCCCCGATCTCCCCTATTGTTATGTCGGTCTTAGTCTCATTAGAGTTTATGCTTGATTGTTATCCCTCGACTAGCCGACTTTAAATAAATGGTATCGATCTTACCTCATTATGAAAGCAGTATTACCTCATTCTGAATCAGTAAATATCAGCGATCAACAAAAGCTTCGCTCTTTAAAGGCTTTGCCTTTTCATATTAGCCATGGCCTTATATTCGTCTGTTTACAATAATCTATTCTTAGACACGGAATCCCATAGAGCTACATGTACCTGTATACAAATACACGGCTGAACGCGCGCACTTACTTTGGGGAAATAGGCATAGCAACCCGCCATTGCTCTTTCTATAAATACGGACAACGTAGTACAGACCTTCATAACACAAAAGAAAAGAAAAGTGTCTTTTATCTAGATATTTTAGTTGTAAGCTGTAAATTGCATGTTGGCTGGGCAACGTGTAGTGTAAAATAAACATAAAAGCGAACATAAGTTATGTGATGTTCTTCATTTCAGCGCATTTGACACTAAAATATGTCTTTAAATAACTGTCTCGGATAACAATTTGAATGCTTCGTCAAATCTTAAAAGTTATTTTCCGTCGGGGGGCTTCGCTCCCCTGAGCCCCCCACCAGGGCCCTGCCCTGGACTCGCTTACACATATCGATGGGCCTAGCTACACCCCTGTCTGAAGACACATTTGAACTCTTCCAATTCAAAGGATGGAATAGTTCATTATGAAATTTCAGGGGTGAATGAGTGAAGGTATAGGAATAATCCTTTTCTATGATCTGGTTGATTTTCTGGCAGTATTATGCATCATCTTACTCCTACGTATTTCTCCCTAACCTGACACATATGTGAGCAGCATACATGTTTTAGGGGTTTAGTTCGACTTTCGGTAAAATGACACCCCCAATATTTATATATACTATATAATCATGGGTTGGGGTCATTTTCAGAGTAATTTTACATGTTTTACCGGTTTAGATCGACTTACATTAGGCCCTATCTTTGTCTTATCTGTTCCAGACTTTTCAGAGGATCGTTTATCATGTTCATGTTGCTATCACATGGACCTACAGCTATATTTGGACCTAAACTAAGACAAATAAATGACACCCCCAATGATTATAGATACGAAACATTGGGGTGTCCTTTCTACCGATCTAAATCCCTAAAACATGTAAAATTACTCTGAACACCTTAGTTTAGGTCCACATCTATTTAAACAATAACTGGTTGTCTGGATGTAATTATTGTTGATATAATTACATGTGGCCTCTGGCAAATCTACCATAAAACCCTAGCGTATTTTTTATATTTACATATTTTTTCTTTTTTAAGACATATTCCTACAAAAACCATTTGCCCTGCCTCAAAATACATTTCAGGCGGCCATTTTGTTTGTTTACATATTCCTACACCTGAAACAGCCAGTTTTAATTATAGTCGAGCAGTTGTAGTTATAGCCTATATAATTACACTTGCCATCTAACACTGTTGTAATGGGACGGTGCGGGGGCAAATGTAAATATAGCTGTAACAAATGCCCAGGTCCCTGTGGTATAAATGTACGTGGTATGAAAGACACCCCCGTTTAAAAAAAATCTGTTTAACAGGCAGGTTAGAAAATTAAGAGTCCAGTATGAATTGTAAGACAAGATCTTGAGAAAACATGTCACCGAAAATGTTCCTTTGTCAAGACTTTAGAGGGTTTTTTAAACAGACTATAGACTTTATTGAATCTGCGACAAAGACATGTTAAAATTAGATTACGTAAGGGTCGAATGCGTCTAATGAATATTCATGATTTAGGGATGTCATATCCGACCTAGTATCTAATATACATCCTTTTTCTGACGAATTCAGTGTGGTGAAGACGTGTTGAGCGGACGAGCATAAAAACCTGAAGATTGTCAAAACAAAGGTGTAAAATCATCAACAAGTAAGTAGATATGATAAAATATGTAAACTGATTCGTAGTTTGTATACATTTAATCAAAACAAACGACACCTTATGATCAAATCCACTATAAATGCTATCTGTGTTGTCTGTTGGCAGGGACGCCATGATCGTGACAAACGACACTTTTAATTATGATCAATTCCTCTATAAATGCTATCTGTGTTGTCTGTAATCATGTATGTTTAATCATGACGTTATTGGTTGGTATTATACCCTTCCCTGACCGCTATCATTCGTGGTGTTTTGCCCGAGTATCACGTTCTGCCGTCAAAAAACCCATAAATGAGATAATACGTAGGATAGAAGCCATTTTAAGAAAAAAAGTAGTTTCACTATAACTTTTTAGAACTGAAAGCGAAAGTGAAGTCTGGGATTACCAATGGCAAGTCATAGTGAGAATAGGTCCTGACTAATATTAGAAATATGTTTAAAATTCTTAATCAATGTTCTAATATTCATATATTAAACATATGTTTCTAATAAAATAGATGTTTTTAATATATTATTAACTCATTTTCTAACATTACTGAATAAAGGTGTGTTGTGGCGTACATGCCAAAATTTTCCGTTGCACAATAGTGAGATCAGTTGAAATTTTAGTGAGTTGTGGTAAAACAAAACGAGATTTTTTTAGGAAGTGCTAAATTAGTGACACATTTAAAACAAAAATAATACTGCATTTAGCATAGTATTATCTTATTTTTTTCTGTAGGGAGGGAGAAAAAAATAATATTTAAAATTTCGAGAATATTTTATCTTCGTTTGATACATTAATTATCAAAATAATAGCAATAACCTCAATTTTCATCTTTCATGAATCTTACTGTGAATAGATTTGCCTCATTGTGTAAAAACGATATAATTCCGGACTTAGTACAAGTATCCGGTTTCGATTTTATAGGTGTAAGGTACATTCCTTTTCGGTAAACCATGTATTTGGTTTTCAATTTTATAATGATCAATCAGGTCTTATGTTGCTGTTAAACATTTATACCAACTGTCATCACAGATTAATTAGCAGCTACCCCCACTCTTGACTGAGGATCCTTGATTTAATTGCTTAAGAGTTGACACAGTTAGAGGCATTTCATTCATCGCCAGTCAGAGTTGAACGGTAACAACAGGTCTACCCCAGGGCACGTAGTATTAATATTAATACCCGGCCTCCTCTGGCCTGGCCGGGTATTAAGTCGATACCATGCTTTGTAATGGAGTAAGCCCGGTGTGAATCACAGAAATCGAAATCTGAATTGACCGCCATGTTGGAAAGTTCGTCTCTTTGCCGATATAGGTCAGGCGTCTTTATCAGGGTTCTCCCCAGGCCATTTAGCCGATACGGATCCGTATCAGCTTCAGATAAAAATCCTCCCTGTCGTATCGGCTCAATAGACGAATCAACACTTCGCTAAATGATGATGAAAGCGGCCCCGCGATTATTTTTTTTCGGTTAAAAATCGTAGCCTCGTTCTGGTCACGATGTTAACATTATTGTCGTCGTATTTCCTGATTCTTTGGTATCATTTTATAGAGCATTTTTAGCTTACCTGCCCGAAGCTTATGCCATTGCGCGTCGTCCGTCGTCCGTCCGTCATTTTTCCTTTCCTTTAAAACACTCCTTGTCCTGAACCGCTCAGCAGATTTGGACTAAATTTAGTCTGGAGCATCCGTAGGCCAAGGGGACTCTATTTGGTATAAACGGTGGGTGTGCCCCCCCCCTGGGGGTAGAGAGGTGGGGTCAAATAGGGGAAACAGAGGTAAAACCTAATACCTTTAAAATTATTCTTCTACCATAGGGATTAATCCTATATTCCCCTATTTTCCCTCCAACACATGAATAGTGTGCTAACGCCTAATTTCTGTTTTATGGTTAATAATAAAATCTGATTTTGTCCATGATATGGAAAAAAAAAAAGAAGCTATAAAGCCAAACACTGTTTTCAACGTTTACATGTGACTTTTTGATCGCTTGACATGATTTAAGCTACAGTTTCCCTTAAGTTACAGGAAAGTTGGTGTGAGTACAGAATTCATGCTTGAGCATGAGAACGGTTCATGAATACGGGCTCCGGTCCTATTAGCATTGTTCATTGATGTCTTTATTTGTTTTCTTTGTTAAATTTTCACCAAGATTTTATCGATTTAAAGTTCTATTTCACCACAAGTTCTCTCGAACTGAATTTTAAAAGAAGCGTGAGAAAGATAGCACTATCGTCGAAAAGGCTTGTAATTGATTTAGTCTTGTTGTAGTGCATCCGAATATGATTCCTATCAACTAAAATTAAAAACCGAACCAGGTACAAAACCTGTTTCTGAACACCAGCTCTGATACAAACAAAGAGGGACCTCATTGGCTGATTTTCATCCCGGTGTCTTATTTTAAAATGCAATAAAATGTTCAATAATATATGTCGGGTGAGGTTATGTTAACAGAATTATTTGATAACAATATAAACGAAAACAAAGGTATCGGTTACATGCGTTTATCATATGTTACTCAGATATGAGTGATGAGGTCAGTGATACAAATACAAACGCAAATGAAATAGAGTTCAGTTTAACCGGGATTATTCATCATCAATTTTTATCATGTCGGTGCAATGATAGGACCAATAAATCTATATCAATTATAAAATTATTGATTTTCAAGTTTTCATGGAAAATAACTTATCTGCATTTTGTAAGATTTAATGTCTAATGCCCTTATGCTATTGTAACGATTCAGTCAAGGTTCCACCTATATGTACCCTAATCTAGCTACACGTACTCCATTGTCCAGCTGTGATTTGACGGAAGCAGACGTCCAACAGCTACTAGTAACTTACCAACAGCTACTAGTAACTAACCAACATGTACAGCTACTAGTAACTAACCAACAGCGACTAATAACTAACCAACAGCTACTAGTAACTAACCAACAGCGACTAGTATCTAACCAACAGCGACTAGTAACTAACCAACAGCTACTAGTAACTAACCAACATCTCCTAGTAACTAACCAACAGCTACTAGTAACTAACCAACAGCTACTAGTAACTAACCTTTCAACACGTTTGTTTTTACACCGTCAACAGGTTATCAGCATTCATGACATGATATCAGTTTGATTGTTTATTGTAGCTGTTTATATACTTATAGTGATTGTGTTTGATGCAGTTTGCTTTACGCTGTATTTCTACATTCGTTGCGGAACACTATATGTATTGCTCTGTGACATCTTCTTTGACAACTTCATTTGTTGTTTGATATCCATAAAACGTGTAACGGACTCAATTAAATCTGGTATGAGAGAAAACCTATAAAGACTTTACCTGTTGTCTAATCCCTTTGTTTTGGAAGAATCAAATATTTGGAATTGAAAGCTTGTTACAGACTCCAAGGAAAATTAGGCAAGTTCATTGTTTTTTTTTCATTTCCGATAAAAGTCAAGGTCAGCGTTATCTTATACTTGTAGATTGGTATTTGGTATTGTTTGATCGAGCGCCTTTGTTGGTGACTGGAATTTTGTAGTAAAAAACAAGATTATACCTAAATTGTTAATGATTCCATTGTCAACTTTTGATTAAAATGGTTTACAGAGCTTTGATATCTTTTTTCATATAAATTATATTCATCTGCCCAATGGTCACTTCACCTGCTTTAAAGGTCAAAGGAACAAAATGTTTCAAATTCTTTCTGAGATAGCAATGAGATAAAAGTCATGACCTTAATCTTTCGTTAGCTTCATCACAGCTTCTCTCAAAGGTAGGGTCAACGCCTATGGAGATTTAACATTAGCGTCGGCTCCCGCTTGGAATTTCAAAACAAGACAAAAACAAAATTTTCAGAATTAATTTTATGACAAATGGGACCTCATTGACGTACACCTCTGTGGGTGTTAAAGGTGCGGTAATGCAATTCCTCCTAGAGCATTTAAATGACCCAATTACCTTAAAATTTGATCATCATCGTGTGCAATATATTCCAACTGTTATTTTGATACCAAATATTACACTATTTCAAGTAAGAATTGTTCTCTTTATTGAATATTAAAGCAGAAAAGTATGTGAAATTTCATTACTAATGAGAAAATATCTTTTTTTTGACACGTTAATTTATATAGTTCTAAAACGAGTCTATTTTTCATACTTGCTTGAAAGTTGGCTACTTATAATAACTTTCAACTTGATGACATTGACCTTCGTTCAAGGTCACAAAATCAAATTTGCTTGATTAAAATGTTTGTATGGGGAGTCGGACAAGGATATTTTGCCTTGCTTTATTTGTTTAGAGTTAACGATATTAAACAATGTAATTTGCCTTCATATTTTGATTAGTGAATGGGAAATAGGCAAAAGAAAATTATAACTAGAACTGTAAGCCAAAAGTATATAGGTCACTAATATACTTCTTGTACTCCCTTCCATTGACAAATATTCTTACATACCAAATCTTGTTAGCCCAGATGAACCAGTTTTACTGAAATCGTCCTAGAACCTAAGAAAGAGTTGTCAAGACAAAGATTTTTAACAAAGGGCCTTAACTCCTTAAAGATAGTCGGAATGAAAAAATACTACCCTGATGCACGACATCAGGGGGTAATTACCATATCTGTAAACTTTCATTGAAATCGGCTCAGTAGTTATTGAGGCAGACAGAGGGTTTTATTTCAACAAAGGGTCATAACTCCTCTTTAAGGGTCGGAATGAAAACGTACTGTTGGAAGCACAAAACTTCTAAAAAATAACGTATTCAAAATTCCTAAATTCCTACAAAATAACATGGTTATCAATAGTTTTAACAATATCCATTGGGCATTCCTCACTAAATGATTACAGTAATACTAACTAGAACCAAAAGCTACCAAGCTTATAGAACTATTTATTTATTCATTTGAAACTATACCTACCTAAATCAAGCGCCCCTTTTTCATACAGAATTGACACTTCTTCCTTATTTAGTGAATCAGCAGCATTTGGGTGGTTTCCTTTGCCTTGAATCTT